GCACAAATATTTTGTCACGTATGAAAATTTCCGCAATTAGTGCCACCATTCTCTATAGTCTATTCCTTTTCTTTCACTTTTTGTCATTTTCTCTTTTCTCTCTCCTTCTTTTTTCTTCTCTCTCCCATGACTTTAGTGAGTGAGGTCTGTTTCGAAACTTGTGAAAAGAAGATCAAAATCCATAAGTTGCGTGTCTGTGGCCTTGGAAGTTTTCTGTTATCCAACTAACTACTGATTCCAATTCCAGGATCCAATGTGTTTATGGTTGTTTCACTAGTCAATTTTCTACTCTTATCTAGTTGTAATATCTCTATCACACATTTACACTAATATTCGATCGTCTGTGAATGAACAACTATTTAAATTATTATAAATTATATAAAATTATAAGTTAGATAATAATATCAATTTTAAAGAAAAAATTGTCATTAATAAAAATGAACATTATAAAAATATCCAACTTTATCACTATATAATTGCATAAAATGAAATGAATAGTGCATTTTTTATTAATTTGATTGATACTGACCTATTAATTATCTTCAAAAGTATTATTATTATTATTATTATTATTATTATTATTATTATTATGCAATTTTAAGAGATTCAATTATGCCAATAAGTCAATTAGCTTATGAAAAAAAAGCTTAATGAGATTCACAATAAATAGTTTTAAAAAAATTAGAATATAATTTTTATATACTTAAATATTATTATGACCAATGACCGTTGACTCCGGCATTGACCGTTGACTCCGGCATTGACCGTTGACTCCAACGTTGACCGTTGACTTCCGCGCGAAAATCGTTGACTTCCGGCGTTGACCGTTGATTCCGGCGTTGACTTCCGATGTTGACCGTTGACCATTTGTCTTTTGTTATGTTATTTCTTTCTTGCTAGGTTAGTTGTATTTTGTTGCTAGGTTAGTTCTTTCGTGCTGCTAGGTTAGTTGTCTTTTGTTGCTAGGTTATTTCTTTCTCGCTGCTAGGTTAGTTGTTTTTTGTTGCTCTTTCTCGCTGCTGCTAGGTTAGTTGTCTTTTGTTGCTAGGTTAGTTGTGTTTTGTTGCTAGCTTAGTTGTAGGTTAGTTGTCTTTTGTTGCTAGGTTATTTCTTTCTTGCTGCTAGGTTAGTTGTGTTTTATTGTTAGGTTAGTTGTCTGATGCTGCTAAGTTAGTTGTGTTTTGTTTCTTTTGTTGCTAGGTTATTTCTTTCTCGCTGCTAGGTTAGTTGTTTTTTGTTGCTCTTTCTCGCTGCTGCTAGGTTAGTTGTCTTTTGTTGCTAGGTTAGTTGTGTTTTGTTGCTAGCTTAGTTGTAGGTTAGTTGTCTTTTGTTGCTAGGTTATTTCTTTCTTGCTGCTAGGTTAGTTGTGTTTTATTGTTAGGTTAGTTGTCTGATGCTGCTAAGTTAGTTGTGTTTTGTTTCTTTTGTTGCTAGGTTATTTCTTTCTCGCTGCTAGGTTAGTTGTTTTTTGTTGCTCTTTCTCGCTGCTAGGTTAGTTGTCTTTTGTTGCTATGTTAGTTGTGTTTTGTTGCTAGCTTAGTTGTAGGTTAGTTGTCTTTTGTTGCTAGGTTATTTCTTTCTTGCTGCTAGGTTAGTTGTGTTTTATTGTTAGGTTAGTTGTCTGATGCTTTCTTGCTGCTAGGTTAGTTGTGTTTTATTGTTAGGTTAGTTGCTAGGTTAGTTGTTTTTTGTTGCTCTTTCTCGCTGCTAGGTTAGTTGTCTTTTGTTGCTATGTTAGTTGTGTTTTGTTGCTAGCTTAGTTGTAGGTTAGTTGTCTTTTGTTGCTAGGTTATTTCTTTCTTGCTGCTAGGTTAGTTGTGTTTTATTATTAGGTTAGTTGTCTGATGCTTTCTTGCTGCTAGGTTAGTTGTGTTTTATTGTTAGGTTAGTTGTCTGATGCTGCTAAGTTAGTTGTGTTTTGTTGCTAGTTTAGTTGTTCTTTCTTGCTGCTAGGTTAGTTGTGTTTTGTTGCTAGGTTAGTTGTCTGATGCTGCTAAGTTAATTGTATTTTTCTTTATAAAAAAATTGTAACCCATAGGATTTGAACCTGGTACCTCATGAAATCAAGACAAGCAATGCAACCACTACACCACTCAAGGTTGAGTGTCTTTTGTTGCTAGGTTATTTATTTCAATGCAACGGGTCAACGCCGGAAGTCAACGATTTTCGCCGGAGGTCAACGCCGGAAGTCAACGGTCAACGCCGGAGTCAACTAATAATTATTTTACTATTTAATTAATGTATATTTTAATTGATTTTGATTTAGACAAAATGAGTGGCTAAGATTTAGTATCACGTACTCATTTTAAGGAGTGGTCTCATTGGATCCGTCCCCTATATATATATATAAGTGTGCCAAAAGGAGAAAGGAGCACAATGAAAGAAATGAGAATGAATCTGGAGCATTGGATATATCATATCAATGAATAGGATAAAGTCAAATTTTAATAAATAATGATCAATCATTAATGGTAATATGGTAAATAAATATACAAATTGGGGTCCAATGTACATATTTGACCATTCAATAGGGGCAAATTGGTCATTGCTTACACACCCACTAATCAACCCAGGCCCACCACTAACCATTCTCTTACCCCATCTCTCTCTCACAAAATACACACACATCTCACCCAATCTTTCTCTCTCCCCGACTGCAGTGGCAGAAATCGGCGACGTCAACCGCAACTAGTAGCCTTCACAGACCATCTGTAACATCCCTTTAAGTTAATAATAAAAATAATTATTGTTAGTTCCGAGTTTGAACTAATTAATAATGCTCGTTCCTGGTTCCGAGCTCAGTTATTAAGTTATTCAGTTAAAAGTTCGACTTTAAGTCGAAAGTATTCTCGATTAAATTTTATTCAGCAATCGAGCTAGTTCATTAATTAATTTCAGTCCATTTATTTTAGAAAATTGATTTTATTAGTAGGGATTAATTAATTTGAGATGTGAAACCAATTTTCTTATTAATTAGACATGAGTGTCTAATTTAATCATTTGAGATAATTAATTTATTTAGAAATTTTGTCTATTTAAATTAAATTTAGAGTATAACTGAGATATTAGAATAATAATATATTTTTTTCAGTATGGCAAGAATCGTTTGAATTTTTTAGTCGTTGTCTGTATCGTCGATATTATTTTATAGACTTATTAAAAATTTTCAGAGACCAATTTGGAGCCTTAAATTTTTCAGATCAATAAGCTTATTTTCGTTCCCATTTATATCAGATATGTCGACCCAAATTTTATCAAATGTCACGCCTCAGTGTTTGAGCATAAATCGAATAAATCCATTTGTGCAAGTTGAGATTTTTGCCAAATGGATTTATTGGATTTATGCTCAAACACTGAGGCGTGACATTTGATAAAATTTGGGTCGACATATCTGATATTTCAATTTAGCTCATGGGTCAAATCTGTAATTTACAAAAGATATATAAAATTTATATTTTTTTTTTATTATTATTGTTATCTTATACTTATATTATATATGTTATATTATATCTTTTTTCCTCAGAAAAAGAAAAAACAATAAACCAAAATAATAAAATACTAAAATTTAATTTTATAACAATAATAATAAAATATTTTAACCATTTAAGTTGGCTTGATTAATCTAACGATTAATTCAATTATTTATGGTTCCATTTTAGTTTGGATTTGCACAAAAAGGAATACAGACTAAATGCACAATATTTAGAAACATTATGCACGTAATTGACTATCATGATGCACTATAACGTCAGACCAAGTGCATATTATTACAGCGTTCGAGATTGACATTAGCATAACGATTTGCATTTTTGCACCAATATTAAAATCTCGATTATTTCGTTCCAATTTCCACCTTATATACAAACTAAATAAATAAGTAACCAAAATATCGAAACCGGTCAAAATGAATAAAAAAATTTTATTTAAATTTTAAATATACATATATTATTTTGTTTTCAATAAAAAATAATGTAAAATATTATATAAAAATTGTAAATGCTAATTATATTTTCATTATTCAAATATTTTGATAATTAAACAGCAATGTTATTTAATATTGCAGTATTAAAGATGTATAACGCTGAAATGCACACAAAAAAAAAAAGTGATAAATAAAACTAGTCGTTTAATAGACCGCCCATTAATGAAAGCCTAAATGCACATTTGTGTATACCAGATTGTACATTATTAAGTTATTAAAATACTAAATTAATTTATAAACTATATTGTTTTAATTAGGGTAATTCGGTTAACCGACCGAATAAATCATGTAATTTTGTTCAGTTTCAATTTGGGTTGGGACAAAAATTCTATATGTTCAGACAACACAATAATGACAGAAACCGTGCACAGTATAATAAGATGGATTGCACATTAATGATTGTCGGACTGCACAACAACAACAAATCGACCAAAATAAATTTTTTGGTACATTTTTTTATATTTCAATTCGATTATATGTTTTATATTTTTTTAAATCTGGTTATTTCAACCAATATAATTTATAAAATAAAAATAATAAAATGATAAAATTCAATGTCAATCGATGACAACAAATGTGCGTTATCATTTTGATATTTTGTGAGGTTTTAATGTGCATATATCCATACTATATTGTACAATTTATTTATCATTGTTGTGCACTGAGTTGTGTACTGAAAATGAATAGTAATTTGTAATTATTATTTTTTTTAATATTGCATATTTAAACCATCAATAAAGGTGTAATATAAGAATGTTTTTAAAAAATTAAGTTATTTATCAATATTCAACATTTATTAGATTTTTAGTTAATTTATAATTGTTAATTTATAATTATATTGCTTTATAATCAAGTTTTTTTCAAAATTATAAAATGGTCCCTATATACTATCTAAGTTTCCTGCAAAACACCCAAGCTCCATTTTTCAAATTTGGAAAAATACATCTTCTAGCCATTATCTTTTTTTTTTCTTTCCCGACCGTCACTTTCAGTCGCCGCACTTCCATCCTCAACTCACACGCACGACGGAGCCGCCGGCGGAGCCAAGATCTGTCGGAACGAGAAGACTGAGCAAATAACTCTGGTCGACCTCCTTCTGCCATTGAGACGTCTCGCTTCCGGCCGCTGCTGAGTCGTGTCGCCTCCGTCCCCCGCCTCGTCCCATCGTCCCTGTCAGTCGTCTCAATGCCTCGCCGCCGCGTCACCTCGCCTCCATCTGCCGGTGTGGAGAACTGGTGTGGCTCAATGATGGATGCAGGTACCGTCGGAGATGATGGCGGCGACGGGCTATGTAGGCAGCGACTGACAGTCGGGGTTGATGGCGTGACGATTAGACTGATGGCTATGGCGTCGGTGTCGGAAATGATAGCGGCGGCGGCGGGCTATGGAGATGATAACGAACGCTCGAAGATGATGGCGGCGGCTGTGGCGGTCTGGGGGTGTGCGGCGCCGTGATATTGGTTGTCGGCGGGACAAGTTTTGTGTGTGTGTGTGCGTGTTTTTCTATAAAAGTAGTGTGTGTTGTGTGTGAGAGATGAGGGATGGGTAGGTGACGTTTGGGTTGGCGGAGGATGGTGGATGTGGGTCCCACTGGGTTGGCATTATTTATAGTGACCAATTTACCCTTAATTAGTGGTCAAATACACATATTTGATCATAATATTACTACTTATTTGCTATACTGCCATTACTATTAAAGTTTGACTTGATCATGACGATTGATGGAATTGATCTAGTGGTCTATATTCATTCTTATTTCGTTCATTGTGTTTCATTCTCATTTGAGCACACTTCTATATATATGAATATATATATTACCATCAAATATTTTTATATGCCTTATAATATAATTTTTATGTATGATGTAATGCGTATCTGTAATGAATTAGTGTAAAAATCATAATTCAAATTATGAGCAACATCAATATATGGGAAAATTTGATGCTGCCCCGAGGGGCACTGCAGTCAGCCCGTAGGGACAACATTAATATATGTGTGTCTATTATATAATTTACTGCGTTTATGAAAAGAGAGCTCCAAAAAAATGACCAATGTTTGTTTAATTCAAAAGCAAAGACAAAAGAAAAAAGGAAATGCGCTCCAACTTTTTATGTCTATATAGACACATAATTATAGCAACATTTTACTAAAGTAATTGCCGCTAAAATCTCACTCTCCAATTTCATCGTCCTAAGAAAAAAAAAAAGTTAACGTGTTTTTACTATTATATGATATATGACTGCACATCATCACGCTTCACAATTTAATTCATTATTGCTTATTATCCCGCCTCTTTGTGGTTAGTGGTATTTCTTACGACCGCAGCATTTTTACCCGATTAGAAAAGTAATATCAAAAGAGCCAAAGTGAAGATTGGAACTTAAGGACGAGATCGGAGGAGCTTATCTAATTGTAAAATGTAATATTATTCTTAGGTTGTATAATGGTTACACAATTGTAATTTTCAATAGATTTACCACTTGTATACTAATATGTCGTTACTTATAAAACATTGTAACATAAAAAAAATATTATATTTAATTGTAGAAATATGTATGTACCCCTGACATTGTAATATTGTATATCCTGACATTGAATAAGTTAACAGTAAAACATCACACATTGCTATAAAATAATACATGCTTGGTAAGTAGAATATCATGATGTTATCCCATTATTCAAGAAATAATTGGTCTTTTATTTATTTATTTTATCATGTGATCAAAGGTAAAAAAAAAATTCGGTGCAAGCAGGGCTGACCCTTTCTTTAAACAGAATTGTGCAAGTTTGGTCTACATACAATCACTCTTTTTTTTTCAAAATAGATTTGCCCATTTTCTGGTGAGCTGGTGTGAACATAAAATCATTCTCTTTTTGCATTGACAGTCAAATTAGTAAAAAATAATTTTCCCAAGTGGAGCCCACCAAAGCTTTCTATTTATATAAATACGTATAATTAATCCGTTAAGTTTCCATGCTCAGAATCACGAGAAGGGAAAATTAACCAATACGAATCACTTTTTCTTTTTTTTCTTCTCTCTATCTTTCACTCTTCTAATTAACTTTTTTCTCTTCCTTCATCATATCTACTATTATATATACATATTTTGTCCTGGTTTTCGTTTGACAAATTACATGGCTATGGCTCTCTTAATTTCTGTGCTGTTGCTTTTCTTCTTCCCTCTGAGAAACAATGCTCAGCTGCCTCAACCTCCTAATCCTGGCTTCTCAGTTAGTACAAGATTTCCACCCGTCGATTTCAAGCAATGGTTTAAAAGTCTGTGGGGTCCTCAAAATCAACGGCTAGACGGTGAAACACTCACAGTGTGGCTTAATCAGAAGTCAGGTATATATATATTATTTACTACTAACCTAATCAATCACCAACAACATTGATTCATATTTTTGCAATACAAGTTAAATTGTGGGTTCACATTACTTGCAAATAAATTATATGATTAATTACTGGTGACAGGAAGTGGATTCACATCAAAGCATGCCTATTGGGCCGGTTATGTTTCGGTTGAAATGAAGCTTCCGTCTGGGTACACGGCTGGAATCGACACATCTATTTATGTGAGTATTTTTTGTAATATATATATACATTGTTAAGTAACATACGGGATTTTAGATTTTTAATTGTGCTGAAAAAAAAAATAAATTAAAAAAAAAATGGCAGTTAACGAGCACTAGAAATTACGCGGACGAACATGATGAGCTGGACTTTGAATTTCTGGGGAATATAGAAGGGAAGCCTTATGTGCTCCAAACGAATGTACTGACGAAGCAGAGTACTGAGGCAGATGGGTATACTCAAGGCAGAGAACAGCAATTTAACCTTTGGTTTGACCCTACCGCAGATTTTCATAGATATGCTATTTTATGGAATCCAAAGGAGATCATGTAAGTCATTCTATTTTTTTATTATTTATTTTTTAATGTTTTTATTCAAGAGAAGTAGTAAAAGAATGATAAATCAATTTTCTCTTTTATGCAAATCCGGAAATATTTCAAGTGGAAGGAGATGAAGCTGAGTTCTATTCTATTCTATTTAAGAGACACCCGTGTATTAAATAATACCACAACAATATATTTTTAATCACTTTAGCTAGACACCTAAGTTTGCACAAGACTTACCCAACCATAGTTATTACTGGAATTTTTTTTTTATTTTATTTTTTATTTTTTATTTTTTGCATTTTGTGTGTAAAGTTGAACACTAACATTTGGTCATTTTTTTCTGTACCAAAACTAAATCTTTAATATCAAAGTTTGTTATTTACATAAAATGATAATGTACTGCAGTAAAAAAAGTTTTAAAGACTTTTTGTACCATTATTTACAATTA